TGAACTGTTTCAGGCAGCAGAATATTGGTCGGGAGTGTGAATGCGAGTACGCCAGTGTCCACAGCATCGGGACTAACAGCGTCGGATGTCTTCAGAGACCTCTTCTAGTGAGTTGACTAGCACAATGCCATGTGTTGGGGAGTGAGGTGAGTGCGGCGTTAGCATGGGAGTAAATGTAGTGAGAGAGGTGATGAGAGCACCGCGTTGACACGCTGTGCGAGTCGGCAGGAGATGAGGTGAGTTGAGGTGAGGTGCGGTGTGGTGAAATAAGATGAGATGAGACGAGATGATTCAAGGTGCGATGAGGTGAGGAGGTGCGAAAGTGCATTGTGAGGCTATGCAACTGAAGCAAACTTGGAGGATGAAGGAGGCAAGGCGGCGCCACGCCCAATAATTTTGACCAAAGCACTCCGCGAAGTGAAGGGGAGTTGGAAGGTGCACACTGAGACATCGAAACTCGTCGGATGGTGATATTGAGGGCAGAGGTGTGAACAATGATAAGAGCCTACAGTCTTACGCACCACCACCCCAACCACCTCTTCACAAATAACAACCTACATGTCCAGTTAGGCGTCGTCTTCTCCTCCTCCTCCTCCTCCTCCTCTCTCCATTTACTTTACTACTTGTCTCTTTCTGTTTGCCTTTCAGCAATCTCTTTCCCGACAACATCATTGGAGTGACAATCTACCATGCAAGTCCACTGTCCTTCAACACTTGCGTTTGTTGCAACATGGTGTGGAATGGTTTGGCAGAATGCCTGCGAATGATGCTGCTAGTGGTGGTGGTGGTGGTGGTAGTAGTAGATGTTGTTGTGATGTGTGGTGAAGAATGAGGTGTGAGTAGGCACACATCATTCTCCTCTGCTACGCAATCGGCGCACCACTGTATTGACGTGTTGGTTTTGGCTCATTGCAGTTCCAGACGGAAGTGGATGCGTCGACCAATGCGACAGTGACGTATTCCTCCAAATCCGGCACCAACATGGTCGGTGAGTGTGTGCGATGTGATGGAAGTAGGGCAGGAGGGAGAAGGGGGAGGGTGGGAGAGGGGATGGTGTGGTGGTAGTGGTGTTGGGGTGTTGGAGTGGGGAGTGGGAGGTGGGGGTCAGGGGAGGAAGGGGGCATGAGGAGTGCAAATGTAGTGGCAAGTTGTGGCGAGGAGGAGGGAATGGTGCACAATGTGATGGTGGAAGGAGAATTTTGCAGGATGAGTGTTACCACCTTTGGTATGTGGTGGGAGGTGGAGTGGCGTGGAGACGAATCGGTGCATCAACACATCAACGGTGAGGCATGCCTCAAAGTGTGACGAGGAAAGAGGAGAGGATGTGAGGTGAGGTGAGGTGAGGTGGGGTGGGGTGAGGTGAAGGGAAGGAGGTGGGTGTGTTATTGGATGAGTGATTAGATTAGTGCGGATGTGAGTGGTGTTGGCATGGCTTAGTGCAGGTCTAACCGAGAGGCGGAGTGATTGAGGGAGGAAAGGGTGCACCACGTGGGATGGTGTTTGAGGTGTGTGTTTTGATGTTCAGGTGTGCTCTTCTGCTCCATTGTCTTCGGTGCAGCTGCGAAGGTGTCTGGTGAGGTGGCGAAGACGTTTGTGGACTTCTTCAAGGGCCTCTCCGTCATTGTCACCAAAATAATGTCGGTCTTCCTTCTGTAAGTCCACTCCTCATCCTCATCCTCATCCACCACCACCACCACCACCACCACCACCATCTCCTCCTCCTCCTCCTACTCCTACTACTACTACTTTGGCTTTTTCGACATGCATGGTGGTGGTGGTGGTGGTGGTGGCGACGATGGTGGGAGGAAGGAGGTCGCATGTGCGTAGGGTGAAGTATGTGCA